GTTGTTATTTTTAAAAATACAAGGAATCAGAAACTGTATACTAGTACATTTAAACTATGGATTTTTTTCAGTATGAATGATATACGTGTGTGTGTGTGTGTGTGTGTGTGTGTCACATAGAACATCCCAAACCATCTTATTCAACTATACACCCACTTTCCAGATGGCACCCTCCCATAGCCTCTGTGCTGGATAGCTTTAGTGTCAATTTGACACAACTGGGTTAAAGGAGCCTCAACTGGGGAAATGACTCCATTGGACTGGCCCGTGGCCATGTCTGTGGGGCATCTTCTTGATTGTTGAGTGATGTGGGAGGGCTCAGCCCACTGTGGGTAATGCCACCCCTGGGCAGGTGGGCCTGTGTTGGATAAGAGAGCAAGCTGAGCAGGGGCAAGGGGGAACAAGCCAGTAAGCAGCATTCCTCCATGGCCTGTGCTCCAGCTCCTGCTTCCAGGTTCCTGCCCTGAGTTCCTACCTTGGGCTCCCTGATGAACTGTGACCTGGGAGTTGTAAGTTAAATAAACTCTTTCCTCCCCAAGTTGGTAGTGGTCAGAGTACTTTGTCACAGCAATGAAGAACTAAGACAGCCTCCCTCCCCCCAACTAGAGCCCTTATACTCCGATATCCCTGCTACTGTCTGCTGTGTTGTCGGCACCCCCAGCCATTCCCTACTACTTGCCCTTCTGGTGAATCTAGTCAGCCTATCTAGAGGTCTTTGTTTTAGGAGGGTCAGCTGTTCCTCATCTAGCGGTAATCAGTTGTCAATATTCCTTTGGATAAGATTGGGGTCTGCTGTTCATTTTCCCAGTTCTGTGCTGGGTTACTATCTGGGAATCCCTTTGGCCACCCTGGCCAACAACTCAAAAGAAGGTATCGCCTGTCTGGCATTGTTGCTTGTTATGTAGCCTTTAGCTATGCATATGGACTCTTAGGAAATTATACTGGCCCCTTTAATCTTTGGTTATACTTTCCTTTTGGGTGTTTAAGGCCATACAGTTGGCCCAGATAAACCAATTTATTTTTACTCTTAAGGTCATTTGAGGATCTGTTCCTCAGGGGTTACATGGGCTTAGGAGGAGGCCCTGACTCCTTTCTTTTACCAGTTCCAGGTGCTTGAAACTCTTGCAAGAGCAATGAGACAAGAGAAGTAAATTAAAGGAGTAATAATTGGAAAAGAAGAGATTAAATTATCCCTTTTTGCAGATGATATGATATTATATTTAAGAGACGCCAAAAATTCCACCAGAAAACTCCTAGCAATTATTAACACATTCAGTAAAGTGGCAGGTTACACAATTAATCTACAAAAGTCTGTAGCCTTTCTATATACCAATAACAAACAATCAGATAAAGAGCACATGGAAACACTCCTGTTCACAACAGCTGCAAATAAACCTGACCAAAGAAAATAAAGACCTATACAACAAAAATTTTAAATCTTTAAAGAAAGAGATTGAGGAAGACATCAGAAGATGGAAGGACACCCCCCTCCAATGCTCATGGATTGGAAGAATTAATATTGTGAAAATGACCATCCTACCAGAAGTCAATTGTAGATAATGCAATGCCAGTCAAAATCCCCATGACATTCTCCACAGAATTGGAAAAAAAACCACCCTAAGATTCATATGGAAGCACAAAAGACCTTGGATAGCCAAAACAACCCTGAGCACTAAGAGCAATTCTGGGGGGATTACTATATCAGATTTTAAGCTATATTACAGACCTATAGTCATAAAAACATGGTACTGGCACAAAAATAGACCCACAGATCAATGGAACTGTATTATTTTTGTCTTCAGTCTAGGGAGAAGTGTGATATAACTCCCTACATCTTGCCCTTGTCTTCCTGACTTATTGCAATCTGGGTAAGCCAACACAATCCTCATCTCCCCACTGCTGTAAGGAGGTAATCATGCTTGTCTATTGGTTCCACCAAGAAATCACTGAGATGTAAAATATGTTCAAATGCTTGTTTAATTTGAAAAAAATAAAAAGTATTGGTTCAAGGAACAAAAAGGCTGTATCTGTTCTAAACTTGGGAGCGACAGGGTTCTAAGAACTGTTTCCCTCAACCTTGAAAACATCAAGAAGTTGAAACTTGCCATTGTACTGAGGTTGAGAATTTTTAGAGCTTAATTTTTTCAGGATTCTGTTGACTAACGACCACAGAATGCTTAGAATGAAGTTACTTAAATAACAATGATTTTAATCATGCTTATCTGTAATAATTGGATTGATTAGCTATATTTATGATAGGAGGCACAAAACATTCATTTCTTATCCTCAGCAAATTTATTTACAGTTAGAAAATATGAACGCCACACAATTAGTATAATAGGAAAACCTGTGCATACAATCAGTAGTATTACATAGACGTTCCCAACTTCAAATAACGAAAAAGAAACTTTCAGAATGTAGAATAAAGAAACCACTATAATCACAAGTAATTCAAACAAGCAAATAGTTTTATATTCCTATTTTCCATTTGCAAAGAACAAGTCGAAAAACTGTAAGATTCTTCCTATTTTACAACCCACTTAATTACCTTTATTTGGAACAGATTTCTTCACTGAGGCCACATGATCTTCAGAGATTGCAAGACGCCTCAATACATCAGCCAAGGCTGCCTTCAGCACGGTGATTTCATCTTCTTGTTGTTGAACCCGGGACTCAAGAGCTGAGAGGCGATCTTGAACATCAGAAGTACTTGCAGCAGAAATGCTATCATCTAAAAAATAAAGTAGCAAGTACTTTAGAAATTTAACAGCTTGAGAAACAATCATCCTCTGGTAAGAAAGTGACAATCAGGTAAGTTTTTTAAAAAGAAAAAATTTAAAAAACAAAACCAATCATTTCACCACGTTTATAAGATTAACTACTATAAAGATTTTTCGTCAAGTAATTAAAATGATGAAAATTTTCCCAGGGTCAATACCATCTCCTTAACTGGCTTTCTTGCTAAAAGTTCTCTAAGTTATTGCTTTGTAGATACATGAGTAGTTGGCTCTCTTGCAAACTATTCAATCTCTTTTAAAATTATGTTATGATCATACTTTTATGAAAACAAAATGAGAAATGTTTTGCTTTGAGAATTTGACAGCAAACCATCATATTCATTCATCAGCACTGACTAGAAAGCACTCTTCCCTTGTGTCTTTAATAGTCTATTCTCCCAACACCAAGAAAAGACAATACTGTTCTGTAACTGACAGAAGACTTTGCTGTTCCCCCTCTATCCCAGCAGCCCAATCTCTTTAAAAGAGTAATGAGCTAGGTGTGCTGGCACATACCTGTAATCTCAGAACCCTAGAGGCAGTAGGACTGACACAAATTCCACGCAAATCTTGCCTGTACTATAAGAAACCATATCAAAAACAAAGCAGTGGGCCAGCAAGTTGGCTCAGTGAGTGAAAACACTTGCTGCCAAGCCTGACAACCTAAGTTTAATCACCGAGACCCACATGGTAGGAAAGAATCAACTTCCCACAAGTTGTCCTCTAATCTCTATACATACACACACACACACACACACACACACACACGCACACACGCACACTGACACATGTGCATAGCCCTCCACCACAAATAAATATTTGTTAAAATAAAGCAGTAGCAACAATAGTAATAAAATAATAAATCAAAACCAATTTAATAAAAAAATATAAGACAATGTTTCTATGAAGTAGATGTTAGGTATATAATAACAGACTATTTTAAATGAGTTTTAGCTATACTAACTATAAACTACCTCCAAAGCTTAACTTTAGAGTACACTATTTGCTGGTTGATTCAGAATCCCAATGTACAGATATATGAAGGATCAAATGCTACTGTTACACACAGAAAAGCACTAAGGGGTTGGAGAGACGGCTCAGCAGTTAAGAGCACTGGCTGCTCTTGCAGCAGACTAGGTTCGGTTACTCATGGGGTAATTAACAATTGTCCGTAACTCCAGTTCCAGGAGAATCCATTACCCTCTTCTGACCTCCTCAGGCATTGCATAACATGGGTACACTTACATACATGTAGGAAATATACTCATCTACATAAAAATTTTTTTTCCATAAAACATTTTTTAAAAGAATACTGAATTAGGTGACCAGCCTGAGAGGGTGAGTTCAGACCTCCTCCATCGGTGTAGAGGGTCTGATCTCAGCAGACCGCCAGAGAGTGCCAAGTTCTGGCCTCCCTCTGGCAGAGGGCCTGAGAAAGCAGGGGACTGTCTGAGAGCCCCCGATCCTGCCTCCATGTAGTGTCCTTTTAATAAGATGATTCTACACAGCAGTCCCTTCTGCATGAAATAATTACCATCATCACGACTTCAGCTGAGCCTGATGGCGGAACATCGTCATAATTGGGCTTGTTGATGATTGTGCTCATTCATTAAAGGAGAGCCAAGCAGGGTCATTGGACCCTCACCTGAGTATCCAGCCACTCCTCCCAGCCAACTGTATGTAATTTGACCCTAATCACACATGGCCTCCTGGATTTGAGGAGGGCTAAAGTACACAACCTGCAGAAGGCTAGGAAGAGAAGGCATGACCCATGCTGCGTTAAGGCTTTCCAGTGTGCATACCCTCAGGTCATACATACACCTCAGCAACCCCTCAGTTATCTGGTAAGCTCAATAAATTCATTACTTCCCCAGTAAAACTTTAATCAAACATTGGCTTGACACTAGAACCTTAAAAGGGAATAAGCATTGCTTAGCATCCCCAGGAAAAGAAGTCTCGCAACAGAAGGAAAATTTATTTGTTAGTGCTATTATGTCTCATAATTATTTAAAAAAAGAAAATGAGAATGTAAAAGATGTTAAAAGGATATGGGAAATGGAGATATTTTCCAAAATACAGAAAACAAGAAATCCTAAACAAGTGAAGGTCTGTTTAGGTTTGTTATGATATACGGATGAGACAAAAATGATACACACATAACCTTAAAATTTCTATAGTCATAGTTTAGTCAACTACATAGTTTGAGGCCTATACTAATGTGGTCAGAGGGACTTAAAGGACAGCTTATGCCCCTTACCCTCCGAGCTTGACTAAGTTCTAGGGGACCATCGAACATCTCTCAAAATGTCCTGTAACTGTGGTGAATCACCTGTCCTCTTGTTCAGGGAGGACATGGAGACCCCATGAGATGTACTTGAACCAGTGTCCAGTCTACAAAGAGGAGGAAACATCATTTCCTCCATGCTTTCAAGTGAAGCCAGCCACAGTTGAGCAGGACCTTTGGCTTATCTTCACATAGATGGAACTGGTACAAGAAAGCCAGGGGCTCCCATGTGACCCTTGAGGAACAGATCCTCAAATGACCTTAAGTGTAAAAATAAATTGATTTATTTGGGCCAACTGTATGGTCTTAAACACCCAAAAGGAAAGTATAACCAAAGAGTAAAGTCTAATCAGTATATTTCTTTAAGAGTTCAAGGGATTACATTTCCCAGACAGTAGGCTTAAGTTCATATAAAAAGTTATTTAGACAATTATTTCTCATTGATGATTTTGTTCCTAACCAGAAAGTGTTGCTCAGATGTAAGACTTCAAATCTTGGTCTCCAATACTGTAGTGCCCACCTGTAGCTAAGGGAGACAACCCACTATTGTTCTAAAATAATGGATAAATTTGTTTTCTCCCCCTATCTAGAAGCCTTTGAGAGGGAACTGACACTGATTCTAATCACTCCAACAGATTCAAAACACCTGAAAGTAAATCCTGACTCTATCACTCTAGAGTCCAGCCTTGGAAAACAAAAGAAACTCCCCCTATCTAGAAGCCTTTGAGAGGGAACTGACACTGATTCTAACCCCTTCAATAGCTGTCAAAATACCTGAAAGCAAATCCTGAATCCATCACTCTAGAGTCTAGCCTTGGAAGACAAAAGAAAAATGAGGAACCCAATAGAGGGATGCTTTTGGAAGCCCTTGTCAAGAAATTCCAAAGGACTCATATGAACATTTGAAAATTGCCCTGTTCTGACTTTTTCCTAGTTCCCTGTCTAGAATTTGTAATGCTAATTACTCTTGCCTTTACTTTCACATCTCCTATTCATGATTCAAGGACTTTCTTTCCCCCTTAGAGATTAAGAGTTATGCAATCTGGGAGTCTTTTAGATAGAACCACTGAAGGGGTACTCCAATTGCCTCACTCTGTGTCCCTGTTCAGCATGGAAGAAGCCAGAGTGGTGTGAGTCCAGATTCCCTATTGACAACTTGGGTAACCGCTTCAGAGGATGGTGTGATAAGAATAGGAGGTAGGAATTGGCTAAGCAGTTAGGGTAAAAAGACACCAAAGAAAAGTAGCCAGTTTCTTGGCTAAAACTTACAATGTCCTTGAGCCTCTTAGCAACATGCTCTGTTCCAAAGGCCAAAAATGTTCAAAGTATTTGGGAGCTTGTATCTAATCATTTAAAGATTTTAGGGTTATTTCTTCAGAGGGGGGAATGTTAGAGTAGCCAAAAGCCCCATAAAAATAAATAAATCACAGAAGAAGAAAGAGTCCATGAAGTTATCAGAAAAAAGTGATGGGGAGATATGAGAGGAGTTAGAGGGGAAAGAGTGGGCATGGATTTGATCAAATCACCTTATACACATGTATGAAATTCTCGATAAACTATTCAAAAAATACATTTGCTATAACATTCCATTATCTTGAAAACAAAAACAAAAAAACCTCAGCTGTTGGGGGCTAGAGATGTAGCTCAGTGGTATAGCAAGCACTTGCGTACCATATGCAAGGCCTTGGAGGATTACGATCCCAGCACTCCCCACCCTGCTAAAAAAAACAACAAACCCTCCATTTCTTTTCACTTTCCTATCTTTACTTCTGAAGAACTATTGCACTGACCTTCTACTCTGACATATTTTGTGTTATCTACAACATTACTACCTACTGAGGAGGCCCACGCTGAACCCAATGTCTATTCCAAGATGACCTGACAATCCAAATAATAAAGTTTATTAAAAATAAATACTGAATTAATAAACACACTAGCTTACACTGGGATATTTTAACATAGCAGTATGATAGTATTTTATCATTTTAGTTTTATAATAAAACCTCAACGTTTTCAAATTAAAGTTATCATGACATCATGTAGCAAACAGTCACAATGAGGACCACACAAGTCAACAGACTCCCGGTGTAAAGATGCATTCCTGTCTGCACTTAGTGGCTTTTCAATGACAATATCTGAGAAACAACAAGATTGAAAGAAACACTGGATTTTGTCTTTAATTAGACTTCAAATTCTGGCTCCATATTAATTACATTATCTTAGGCAATTGTAGTTCTTCAGACCCCAATTTCTTTTATCTTTAAAGGAGGAAAGTACAAGCCATATACAAAATATAAAAGGTAAAATTCAAGAGCTCTGGCATGTGTGTCACATGAAAACGTGTGGAACTGAGATGGCCAGTGAAGGACTGGTAAGAACGATCCATTCTCTCACCTACAGTAATTGTACACAATTGTTTCCTGACATCATTTTCATACAAGTAAATGCATTTTGATCATATGCACCCTCCCATTACCCTCTTTGTCTGCCTCTCGTGCTGATCCCCTTCATCTTTTGTGGGAGAGAGAGAGGGGTGGAGAGAGATTGAGTTTTGTTACAGCTGGTCACAGAAGTATTTGTTTAAAGGACCATGGGCACCTTAAATTTTTTTATATACATGTATTTTTTTCTGTGTGTCCTTGCACATGTACACATGTGGAGGCCAGAGAT